TTTCGTCACTCCTCTGTACTGCGATTGGTCTAAAGCTCCTTGAAGCCTTGTCCCCTTTCAGTAAAGTTAAAAGGACCCACCCGCCCACCAACTGAGGACCACAGAATGGCTTTCTCCGATAAGTTGTGATGGCTGTCCATACCGATTTTTTTTAGTCAATATTGTTCGCTCAAGTTGTAGACAGATCCAGTGATCGTAGAATAGGCGTCCAGGCTACCATAAATGAAACAACTTGGCGATAAATCAAACAACAACTTCGCCATAATACAAGGGTTACCTTAAAGTCTACTCTACCCAATTCTTCAAAGCATGAAGAACATTTTCCTCTGGAGTAACCATATATATTTTGCATCTGTGAACCTTTAACTTTTAACTTCCAAATAATTTTCTGTAAGTATGTACGTGCATATATGTGCGTATATCGTGTGTGTGTATTCCAACCTAGTGATGTCCTTTCGAATAACTAAAGAAATGTAATCGTTATCAATTCTTTCTCGCAATTTTGTTTTTAAATTATTGATTTCATTTGACACTTCCGTAATTGAAATTTTGTTCCCCTTTAAAAATTTTCATAGCATTGCGAAATAATACAGCTTGGCTGTGGATGAACTGAAACCAAATTTGTGTTATGTCATTTTCAAAAAAGAGCTGCAATACTCTTGTACATTTATCTTGTGATTAAAAAGTATGATTTTAATGGTTCGTATATTTTTAAAATATTTTCTACAGCTGGTAAAAGAGCTAACCATCGTGTTCACAAAATTCCTTAAAACTTTCAAAACGCACTACATATATATATATAAAAATACGAATAAATTTTTGTAATAAAATCTCAACATCAACTGGAATACTTCCAGTTGATGTTGAGTCATATGCTGTTTGAATAATGAAGTCATATGCTGTTTGAATAGGATTGTGTAGAATGTTCACTGCACAACCTACTCCAATAATTTTTTGGTTCAAATGTTAAGTTTCGTAAAGGGATATTAATGCCTCTTCTATCTTTTCCACCAAAATTTGTATTACTGTTATTCGCATAATAAGCAATAATTTTATTGTTCAAATTGTTCTATATTAAAATGGTATTTATTGAATAAAAAATTATTTATGAAGTTTCAGCTGGTAATGAAACAAAATTTAATAATCTAATTTTAATTCCAGTTTCTGAATTTTAAAAAATCTAACAATTAGGGGAAATAATTTTAAATCTGTGTAGTTGGAAGCATCAGAATATATGGATATAAAAGTGAATTTATCTAATTCTTTCTGCATTTGTGAAAACTAATATGGTGAAAAACATTACAAATAATTGCTTTGGTTTGTGTCCTTAGGACGTGAAAATTTTTTGTTGTACAATGTTTTGATCATTTGTGATGTACAATCCATTGATCTGAAACTTTGTGGTTTATGGGTGGAAAGCAAATAGTCTTTCAGCTAATGTAATGCAAATAATCTTTCAGCAGCTGTTCCTCTGTGTTGCTAAAACTAGAATTGTGGGAAAACTGTGCCATTTTAGACGAGGAATCGGCATTATTCAAAAATCTTCTGTGCCTTTTTGTCGCTAGATGTTTAGTAATATCATTTTTTCTGCCATGCGAAACCGAAAATTAAATGTTGCATTTATCACACCGTACCATATAGTCTATTTTGGTTTTTTTAATAAGTGGAAATTCTCTGCTTAGCTCCTCATTACATTTGCATTCTCTTTTTTTACCCATCTTTTATTTTATGGGTAAATACTATAAATAATTTACTACAAAAACTAAAAATAAGTACCAAATTTTACCTTATTGACTGTTACGCTGTGTCTGTGTTACTATTGCTCTTCCTTTGTCAATCAAATAATGACTCGGACATCAAACTGAAAACAACAAACTGCACTGTCTAACCGCAGTCCACACTTATCTGTATTAAAAAAATTCAAAAGATTCACCCAGATGGTATAGTGGTTAGGGGAGCGTACTACGGTACCGAAGGGCCCGGGTTCGAATCCCGGAGAAGACATGAATGTTTGTAAATGTATAGTGTCGGTGCTGCATGGCAGCACTCTAAATCTGCGTTGAGCCTAAAGTCCTCATGTGAATTCGTGGAAGACCCCCAGATCCCCCCTTCCCCTGGGTGCTCTACCTCAAAATTGGGGTAGGAAAATACAACTAAAGTCCAACTTCTTTTCAGAGTAGGCTCTGGTTACCATTGCTCCATGCAATATGAATACCACAACAAGAAGACAAGACCAACACAGATTTGATTTATGTCGATACAGAAGGAGAAAAAATGGTTCACAGAAGTATGAACTCTTCACAAACGTTATTAAATGTTTCAAGGTAAGTTTAACTAGAAAATACACTGGAACCTCAATCTGCCATTTTTTAGATATGGGTTAAAAATTATGCACACAAGAAAATAATCAAATGTGAAAAACCATATACAGTACAAAGTCCGAAATCCGGACTCTTCTTGACTTCGGCGATTCCCGATTTGAAATTTTTCCAGATATTAGATCATCTGTTTAAATCTAGGAAGATGGTATGTAGAAATTATAAAATTAAAAATATGAAATTGTGATTTATAAAATAATGAAGTATATATGATCTAAAGGGTATCAAAATTTACAAAAAAAAGCTTAATATTTATTTGTTTACCTTATTAAACATTTCTTTCAATGTAAGTTGTTTAAGTTGCTTCGTTTTTTGTCCTAATACTTTCTCTTTAATTCTGTAGACAGACATAATCTCTTGTTTAGTTACATTGTTGAAGTCCTGTAACTGTTGTTTTGAGAATTCCAACTAGTTTGTCGATCAAAATTTTCTCGTTTTCAGTAACTTCTCTGTCACTTTCTTCGCTATCGATAGCGGTATTTTCTGGTCTTAGAGCCATACCACAGATTTCGCCATTCATTAATTGACTGATGGTTGAGAAGTGTCATCACAATGGAAAACTTATATCATCTTCATTTAGTACATCTTCTCCATATTTCTTTACAAAATCCGTTAAATGGAAAATTTCTCCTTTGTTTTGCGATATCCGAAAACCTTTAAAATTGGTGGCTATCATCATCATCATCATATTTAGCTGTCCTTCACTATACTTATTTGGCTATGCATCATGAGCTTGGCAACTAACAACAAGTTGTTCCGTTAAATTTTATCTTGCTTCTATCGCACACTGAGACAATTAAGCCTGAATTGTATTAGGTTAGTTATTTATTATACTTCTGTCTATTTCTTGCACATTCTTAAGGCTTATCAGAGTTCTGAATAAATAAACTCCCACATATATTAAACCTTATTGAGGGCCAGCGCTAGATATAGTACTGCCTGATGCAGTCTCTGTGGGTCTTAAATTCTGCGACTCGTTGAAGCCATACAAGCCCTGGCACTGATTCCAGTGAATAATAAATCAATTATTCTTAATACAAATAGCCCTAAATGTAATCCTTGAATCTATGAGTATCATCAACAAAATCTATTTTTAGCATATGGAAAGAAATTTTGGTAAATTTTTCCTCGTCAACATTTTTTAGCTCTTCAAACTTAGATAACTACTTTAATTATCGAAAACAACCAAAACATTTTTAAAAAGTTTTTTGTGTCTTTGTGAAACTCTGCACTACTTGTTATTCATTTTTAGTTTATTTCTCTGTCCCAAATATGAATTAAAAACTAATCTTGAAACCCCAGAAAATTAACAGGATTAAACTGATAAAAATGAAAAGAAATAAACTTATAGTATTTTGCTGTAAAATAGCATTCAGAAATGCGATTGCCAAACTGAGAGGCAAATGTGAAACTTTATTGCACAACTGCGTTGTTAGATTCTTAGTCTGTGGCGAAGATAATAAGTAATATAAATTTTGTTTTGCATTTATTTATTTTTCAGAAATTACATGCAAGATGTGCTGTTTTGGGCACATGGCTACAAACTTCTAATGATAGTTTAGGGAATAATGAATTGGAAGAGGGATAAATAACATTCCTTGCATAAAATCTCATTTGAGTCTAAAAATAATGAATGATATGTGGAGGAAAAATGATCATGCCAGGGATGAAAATAAGGCTCTACTATATTGGGTATACTATTAATGTAAAATATGCTTCCTCATGCAAATATGGCTCTAAATTTCTTAATATAGTATTCTCAATTTAATTAGATTCTGGAGATTTTAGAATAGATTAAATTTGATTCATGTACTGGATTTTGTAAATCTCTCTACAAATCTAGTTTAAGAATAAATTCTTGTAATTTATCAAAGTGAAATGTCTAGCAGAAAATTGAAACTTTATTTATTTAAATCTTCTGAATTTATATTTAAAAAATTCATTGCCATGTTATTTGTTTATCAAATAGAAGACTATTTTATGATTTTATTTGGCTAAATTGCAAAACACAACTTATTTGCTTTCTTCAGATTTTAAAGTTAATATAGTATATTCTACAGAACCCATAGTTCTTAGGTAATAAAATGTGTAGTTGTTCAAAGATCTGTTGGAGCAAAATAAATTTCTGTACTGTTAATAACGTGATCCTAATATAATTCTGAAATTAAACTTGTGAATGATTCACTTGAACCATTCACAGTTCAATAAGTAAAATGGTTTTCTGCATTTTGTGTGAAAACTTTATACATATGTAAGATGTAATTGCTTTTGAGAAATTATTTCAGCGGAATTTCACTGTAGGTAATGTTGTTATGATTTGCTATAAACAATCTTTTTTAACTTGTGTTACATGCACTGTAAAAAAATAGTTATAAAAGCAGTATTTTCTTAATAAGATTTGTAGCATTGATAATTGTAATGTTGTTGAAATGTCACATGATTAACATTAATTCAGTGTTAATTCCATGATCTACTAATAAATTTTAATTTGGTTTTAGACAGTATTTTGAAATTGACCTCTGTGTATGTGTAATGTCTTAAGATTTATATAATATTTTAGTATCTGTTTGTATGTGTCCAGTATATATATTTTTGTAATTTCATAGAAATTAATTTCTGTAGGTGAAAAACGGTACCTGAAATGTAGAGTGCATTTTCATTGGATATTTCTGCTGTAGAAATTTCCAGAAAACAAAAAATGTCTGAGAAAAGAGAAGACAGGTATAGTGTTGGAAGTTCAGCTGGCTCTGGATTATCCAGTGATATAAAAAAAGCTGGGATACTGAGAAAATTAAAGGTATTCATTTATTCTTATTAACTGCAAATTCTATTTTTATTGTTGATGTATTTCCATAAATGATAAATTTGTCATGGTTCATTTATACATTTGATTTATTAGTTCAGTATGTCTTCAGTATTTCCTATACTAATGCATGTTCCTAAAAAGATTAGAGTATGCACACTGCATCCACACAGTTTTATGACTTAAGTTTTGCAAAAATCAAAAGTTAAAAAAACATTATTTCTTAGACTTTGAAATCCAATTCCTGTAAATCTATGTAATGCTTGGCACATTTATACGACTGTTTGAACATTCATACAACCTCTGTAGAACCCAAATTTTGAAGTGTTATTTAACCCTTCAAGAGTTAAAATTGTATATCGAAGCATGTCTTTCCTATTTATCGCACATAAAAGTTTCTGATAGATCCTCATCTGTCTGAATTTGAGTTGCATGTAGATTGGAAGGAGAGGAGTTGAGGCACAATATGAGATCGTTATTTTAAAATTTTAATCAAGAAAATACCACTTATTCTCAACATTTTGAGGAATTTTTAAATTTCTGGGCCATACCCATAATTCTTAGAGGATTAAATGTCTGATCACAGTTTCCTGAATCTGTTTAGTGTGATTAAAATAAATCTTGATAAATAGGAAAGTTGAGATTTGTCTCTTTCCCCCCCCCAGAAACTGTTTGATAAGAAAATTGGGTGATCAAGAATTATCATGCTGCAGAAACCATTTATTTTATTCGAGTTTCTTCAAGCTCGTTTCACTAAATTATTTTGAAGTGTTTAATTATGTCTTTAAAAATTTGGAATTCAGCATATGTTCTTCTGAATTATCCTTTATATGTCAACAAAAGTCACTGATATAATATTTACTCAAGATTTCTGAAAAATGAAGTTTTTCTGGCCTTGGTGAACTTTTTCCAGCTCAAGTAGGTGATTGACATTTTGTCTCAAGATCATAAGCAACGTTCCATATTTCATTCATATTCATTGTCGTAATTTATTTGAAAAGTAAGTATTGTTATCTGGCTTTTACATTAAATCATGACATGGAGAAATTTGATTTTCTTGATTGTATGCTGTCTATGTACAAGAAACAAACCGAAAACAAACTTTACCTTTTTTAAGTTATTCCTAGCTAATTTTCTGAGTAGTGATTTTATTGGATGTTAAACTTATGTTTCTTCTTCAAAGAAACAGGTGATGACTTCTCAGTAACAATCTTCAGATCTTTTTCAATGTTCTCATCCATGTGAAGGGCAGCTACTCATAGGCTCATTATCAGCATTTCATTATCCATCATGAAATCACACATAACAATGAAAAATGGTGGATTTTGTTAATACTTGATCCCATATGCTTTACACACTATTTCAAGCATCTTTATTGCAGTTTCTCATGCTTAACTGCAAATTTTTTTCACCTTTTGAATTCATAATAGATATTTGGTGTATCAAAACAATTAATTGCATAGAATATTTTATCTATAAGCTAATAATATTTTAAAAAAGGGGGAGAGCTCGCTTGAGACATTATAGAAATGCTGTCTATTATTATTGGGTAGTTTGCTAGAATTAATTAAAATAAATGTGTCCTAAAACTTTGTAAATCTGTTGTGTACTTTGAGGTAAATGTGCCTAATTTTAAGCTTATTTAATTAGCAGGTTTACTTATAAAATAAAAAAAAAAAAGAAACAGATATGAAATATGAAAATAATTTTTTTTGATAATTGGCAGATCACTTACCTATTCCTTTCAAAGAAATGAAACTTGATGCATTTCAAAACATTGCTGTCTATCTTTAAAATAAATTATTTTGGGCAAAAGCAGTGATTCAAGATAAAATAAGGGAAAGGATTCTTAGAGCCATTTATAAGTTTGGAGATAAATGACTGAAAAGTGGGACCAAGATATGTAAAAATAAATGTATGCTGATTCAGATTTGCACTAAAACAGATGAACTGTGAAAAGCTTCAGAAAATGTAATTCAGCTGAACTTATTTCTTTTATTTTCAAGAGAAAAGCTATAGTTGATTGACCAGTACTGATTAGTGTAAATTTTTGTACCTTTAAGATTTGGTTATAGTTCAGATTTGAATCTTTAAACATAAAAGTTTAATGCTGTGCACTGACAGTGGGATATATGAATTCTGAAAAAGTTAAGACATCTGAAGGTCTTCCAGAATTAAATCAATATTTTATTTATGGAGGAAATTTAAGATATGAAGAATTGGATCATTTTTAGCCAGATGGGAAGCAGGAATGGTAACTAGATTTGATATGTTTAATGGAAAGGTATCTTGTATAAGTTGTATAAAAGCTTGTGAAATAATAAAGAGAAATTATTAAAAGCAATAGCTCTTAAATTATTTGGTTAAAATTGAACAAACAAATGCTATGATAAGGAAGGGAAGTTTAATTTTTTATTTGGAAAGCTATCTATAATGTAGAAGATGTGATGATAAAGTAAGATTTAAAAGACCAAATGATAAAAAAGTGAAAGAATAAATTTATGTTTAGAAAGAGTGAGATCTTGACTTATGTTAAAGCCAGTTTAAACTGTTTATTTAGTCATTTGTGTAGCAAAACACCAGAGTTGTTTTCAGTTACTGAGAAGACATTGTACAAAAATATTTCCTATGAGATGGAGCAAATTTTATTATAAATTAGGTAAATCTGCTACTGAAATGTCAGAGGTGATTCAAACAGTATGTGATGATCAGTCGTTAACAAGTGCATGAGTGGTGCACTCTTTAGATATTGATTCTAAAGCATTGAAGATAAACCAAAGGTAAAAGGCATTTCAGCTTTAAAGAATGAGGAAAATGTGAAGAAAATTCATTTTTGGTAAAAGCTGATAGATGTGTAATAATTCAACTTTCAGCCATGATGAGGTAAGCAAAGAAAGCTGTAGGTCAATTTTAATAGAAAATCTGAAGGTGAGGAAAGTTTGTGCCTGATTTTGACTGAAGAGCAAAAAGAAGACGGAAAAGCTTACTATAAAGATTTGCTGACTACTACACAACAGGATAACAGTTTCTAAGAGTGTATTATAGTGCGAGATAAAACCTGATGTCTACAGTACAACCCAGAAACAAATAGACGAAGTGCACAGTGGAAAGAACTGTTTTTTCTTGCATAAATAAAAGCAAGGATGTCAAAACCAGAGACTAAGATGATGCTGATTTCATTTTTATTACAAAGGGCTTGTTCACGATGAATTTTTTCCTGAATATTAATTAATTACTCAATATTATTACAAGGAGTTGTATTTTTGACTAAAAAATGGGATAAGGTGAGTTAGGAACTTTTTTATTCTGGGTAATGGCTTCTTTTACAGGATAATGCTAGGCCCCGTACAGCCGTATGTACAAAAATATCTAGACATTCAATTGCAGAGATAAATCACCCATTATATTCTTCTGGCATATCACAAGTTAAGTCCCTCCCCCCCTTTTTTTTTTGATTAAGATGGTTATGAAAAACAGAGATTTGAAAACATATTGGATTGGATATAAAATCAAATATTAAGTGTATTTTGTGAATGGTTAGTTCCAACACCTATAAACAATACTTCTATGACATGAAGAAAATGTTGGAAAAAGTGGATGAACTCCTTTGGCGATTATTTTGAAGGTGATAAATTGAGTACTTTATTGGCACACCTTGTAGTTAGGGGGGAAAACTTTTTTAAAATCATAATGCTCTGAATACATTTAATTATGAATTTTTTGAATAAATTTAAATATTTATCATTTATTTCCAACTATGTTTGTGGAAGGATAGATATCCTTCTCCAAGATATTCATTAGTCTTGCAGAAGAGTTTTATCTTTGTAACATTATTTAAATATATCATCTATATGAAATTTTATGGAGCTATTCATTTTTTTTCGTACTTTTCCACTATGTAGCAGGATCTTTTAATTGTAAACAGTTTCTAGTTATAAGAATAGTTTACATATTTATTTCATAGCTTTATTACAGTAGCATTTATTATTTCAAAGAATTTATTTCAGTCTCAATTATTGAAAAAGTACAAGCTGAAATTAACTGTGAAACTAGACAGAAAACATAAATTTACAAATATTTGCTAGTATGGTAGAAAACATTTTGGCCTTCGGGTCTGTGAAACACCCAGGTGGTGGTGTCACTGAATCGCGGTGTTTGTTTCACTTCTCTTTCATAGGTGGTGCAAAAAGCATGGCAGATGCATAATGTAAAAGCATCAGGTTTTCAATAAAATTGAAGGCTAGAATGTTAAGCTGAATTACTTGTAGGAACTTTGCGCCTTCATTATGCTTTGGGAAAAAGAGTTAATAAAGGATACTATTTTATTGGTATTTTGCTTCTGTTCTGCATTTGTCAAGTGATATCTTGCCTTTGTGATATCATACTATTACAAGTTCTTAATTATGTTTTTATAGTTAAAATTAGGAAATCTAGATAATTTGTTGCACATTTCCTTTGTAAAATCTTCTGTTGTACTAGTAACAAAAACATGTTAAGTCATTTCATTGCTTTTCTTCAAGATTTGGCCTCACCAGTGGTCATAAGACTGCTAATGGTTTGAACCTAGGCAAACAGGCTATCTGCATTATTGGCTTTCATAGTTTTCTCCTTTATATGAATATGAGACAGAAGCGTGAAGACATCTCTCTCCTTAGGCAGATAACTGTAGCATGCTTTGCCATACTTGAATAACCTAATCTGAGGCAGTGTGCTTTGCCATATTCTAATAATCTAACCAATCTAATATTCAAGATGTGTGATTTGTTACTTATATTTGCTTGCTTATCATGTGGTATCTCTTCAGAGATGAATGAATGATGAATTAATATTGCAGTCATATAAAGGAAGTCAAGCTCGAGCAATAAAAATAAAATCAGGAAGAATAAAATGAGTATTTTGGGTTATAAATGAAATACAGTACAAAGTGCGTAATTCGGACTCGTTGGGACTTCAGCAATTCTGGATTAGGGGTTTTTCAGGATTATAGATCATCA